CCTTTTTTTTTTTTTCTTTTTTTTTTTTTCTTCAATCTCCACAGGATATTTTACCAGAAACCAGCTGAGAAACTTAAGACTTTCCTGCTGACCTACAAAGATCTTAATATCAGAGGATCACATATCAAGTTTCTAGCCTCCTGTCAGCTTCTGTTCTTGGCTGTTTAGCTCAGCTACAGACAGCTACTACCTGGCCTGCCCCCAATAGCCAGCCAGGTTTTAAATTTTACCCTTTCAGCAAGTACAGTCTACAGCAACAGTCCCTTCCCCTGTTCAGGAGAAAGCCTTGAAAGCAGTTCAGTTTTAAAAATCAAAGTCCTAATAGCAGGCGGAACTGCTTCGGAGCTTACTTGCACTTGAAGAAAAGGTCCCTGGCATTTCAAAAAGCGAGTCTGAAGCAGTGCCTTTGGGAAGGAGCAGATAACTAACACGCACCGTGTCTAGCCATGGCTGGAGGCCAGAGGTCAGCATCAGACTGGAGTAGCTGAAATAAGAAATGCAGACTTCCTCACTTCCATCCCTCTCCTGTTCCTCTAACACCGTTGCTGCACGCAGGTAGAGAAACGAGCAGAGGGGAAGCAGCAAAGGCCAGATAAAACACTCGCACCCCAATAAACATTGAGGCAGGGAAGGATGAGACGGGGGAGCATCAGCCTTTTTGTTTCAAAACCGCATCAAAGTCCAGGGAAGTTCTGAGGCCATATCCAGCACCAGTCCAGCACTGAAAACACAAGACCAAATCAAAGAGTGACTGGATGAACTTCTGCAAAACAAAAAAAAAAATCAGCACTTAAGTAGATACTACCAACTGCAATCATCTCTGTAGCTGTGCGCTGCCTGCCGCACTCACATGGCTTTTAAAAAAGACAGCCAGGATGTTTTCTGATGGAGACCAATAAAATAAATTACTGTAACACTCACGAAGAAAAGAGCAAGCTCTTAACTTTCTCATGAGGGAAAATACACTAAAAAATACACTAAAATACTATCCCAGCCAAAGATATGCATAAAGGCACATACATATGGCCTAGGAAGAGACAGAAGCTGAATGCATGGCAATAGATTTCCAATACACATTTAGGGAACAACAGAAAGACTCCAGAAACTAAAGAGTAGATTTATGTCTCTTACTTGCCTTTAGTCTTTTCTCCTGTAAGTTTAATTAGTGCTCTCCTCCTCCAACATAAATGTGAACGCACATCTAGTGTAGAAAGGTGCTATGTGTTTCCAGTGCCTAATGAAAGGACTATTTGTGTGCATCTTCCTGACTGACAAACAGCATCCAGATTCCCCAACAAGATTTTATAGTAAGTAACCAAGTACCTATCTCCAGTGGCAATATGCTGAAGCGGGACTTCAGTATACAGTGCTAAATACTTCTGGATCAGTAACACCATTACGCTCATTTGCTACTTTGCATTGGAACTGAGCAAATGCAAAGACAGGGAAAAGGTGAAAAAGAAAACCTTCAGCTTTTGTGACTAGAATGTAGGTATTAATGAATTTGCTCCAACTGTATCACATTGTATAAGGTGTGACCTTCAGCCAGCCAAGCAATCAAATTCATTGAATAGATGTCTTCATACAATGCATTTTGCTGGGAAGCTGCTCAATAGTCAATGTTATTGAAACAAGTTGTCAGGCAAATGAAGAAGCTTCTCTTTCCGCAAAGGCCAGAAAGGCAGGCAATTTGGATGCTGTCAAAACACAGTCCGAATGCAGTAATTCTGACTTAACCTTCAAAATCTTCATGATGGTGAAGAAGCTCCCTGATCAGAGCAGCATTTGTGGACTTTACGCATGCGCAAGTGGACTTAAGAACAGTGAAAACAGATCAGTTGTAACAGTTTTAGAGGCAAACTCGAACTGTTCACAATTATGCAACGCTGTCATTCAGCTGTGCATAAAGATTTCCCAAAACATGCAACTCAGACCATAGGACAGCTTAAAATTGATACGAGGGAGGTCTGATTAACCTGAAAGGAACACATTATTTTAACAGGTTTTTAAGTTCCCTTCCATGCCACAGATTTATGTCCTTTGGTATCTTAGTTCCACAGAATGTAGATGGGAATAGCATTTTCTTCTCATGTGAACATGTCGCGGGAAAAAAATACACTAAAGACTGAGAGGGTAAAAGCAACGCGAGAAGAAACATAAGAGACAGACACAAAGACCCAAAGCATTTGACCAAAGACACATCAACATTCACCACTCCATCCAACTCTGGAAAGGGAGTGCTGCATCTAGACAGGTTTTCAAGAAACACAAGTCCAAGTCAAGCGACTGAAATAGTTCAGGGACCTGTCACCACTCAGCTGACCTCTGGCTCCGTGCACTGATACTTTATACTCAGCCACAAAGGATATAAGTGGTCAGAATCAAAGACTGCAAGAGTGGACTCTCTCCTGGGGAAAGAGGGTTTCAGACTGGTCCTTACACCAGAACCAGAGACTACAAAATAGTACAGAAAGGACGCGGCCCCGCATTTTGCTGCTATCAGTCTGTGAGATCTTGAATAGTCACACAGAGGAAAGGACAGATGTCATTTTCCTACAACCAGGACACATTTCAGAAAATTGTACAGCCATTTTTAGCCTTTGTTGACACAATATAAAACTGTATGCTTTCTCCTAGATCCCCTGCATTTGCCACCCACACAAAGCAAAGCCTTCCTTGTCCTATCATGTATTTTATCACCTCAACAGCAACCCATTTACAAGGTGGGAAGCTCTAAGGAGAGGCACGAAGGGCTGAACAAATGAGAGTTTTCATCCGTTTCAAATATTTGCAGTAATAATAGAAGGGATTATCATTTTCCAGGAGAGGAAGAGGCACTTTTAGTTATCAGAGTAACTGGAATTTTGCCAAGATGCCTCTAAGACTATCTGCTGGGATTAGGATGCAGACTGTAACCATTAATCCTCTAGTGTTGGCAGCTCTTGATTCATCCATTACACAGCAATGCTACTTGTGCCAAGACATCCTCTCGTGCCTGGAAGCAAAGGAGTTAATCGGCAGGAGTCACGGCTTTGCACCCAACACTTCTCGCTAGGCATAGCTAACGGAGATAAACTATTATTGGCCCTGATAGGATTCTTTTTTTCCTGTGGCAATTCAGCTTAGCAGGGTGTTAGAGAGAGTGCTCCAAATCTACTTCCTTCAGCAGTTCAACCCTTTGTGAGACTCCCTCAAGGGCTTTGAATCATTTTTGGAAATCTTTTGAAGTGTTTCAAAACCTGTCAATCAGACCTGAACCCACTTACTGTTCTCTTCCTCCACCTCCCCCAGACACAGCAAATGGGGAACGTTCCACTTTGGCTTACAAACTTGCTAGCACCTGATGCCAAGGACTTTCTGCCTCTGGAAGTCCAAAGTTAAACCAAGGAATGTCACAAACCTAAATCTGGAGGCACATTCATTCAGAGATGAAAACTATCAGCAGAGACTCTGCAGTCACAGTTGCTGCCAGGAGTTGACCATATAAACCAGAGAGAGGAGGTGGTGGGGGGGAAATGCTATTTTCATTCAACATGACAGGCTGAAGGCGAGTACCAAGGGATTTCTGAAGAAGTTTTTCTATCCCTTTGGTTATACACCTATTAACTTCTATGGCCCTTCTTACCCTCTGCCCTCAAAAATATCACAGACTCTAAAAAAAAAAAAAAAATCCTTGTTTGCTATATTTTACAAATGAAGTACTGGGGCATGAAGTGATGCAATCCAAATCTTGAAGGACATTATTGTTAGAACAACAAAAAATAATCAAATTTGTTTAACTTTTGTGTCTCACCAGTAGAAGAGAAAGGCACCTCCGTGCATCCTCACGGAAGGATAGTTCGACAGCATACCAAACCCTCCCTCGCCCTTACGCTTTGCTCATTATCCCTAAACACAGAATTACACACAAGCTGCTTGTGAGGCAGGCAAGATCAGGCTGCAGCAGGGCTTGCCATGTTACTTAATGCAAGGATGCAGCCCCTGGGCCTTCTCTGCAACCTTTGTTAAATTCAAAGATACCATTTAAGGATTAAATGGGTAATCTCCAATGTAGGTGGCGTAACAGTAAGATTTACAATTTCAGTTTCCCCACCTGTATAAAGACGGGTCTTACAGAAGTGCTGGAAAGGGTAGTCAAGCCACCAAACAGAGCAGGGACACTACAGAAACCTTCACTGTCAAAAAAAAAAAAGTAATTACCCAGTGTCATCTGTGAATCACCTCTCTTTGTTTCTGCAGACAAGGTCCTGGTTCACTGCGCTATGGGTCGCAGCCGGTCAGCCACGCTGGTTTTGGCTTACCTGATGATTTACAAGAACATGACAGTGGTGGATGCCATTGAGCAAGTATCAAGACACCGGTGCATCTTGCCAAACCGGGGCTTCTTGAAGCAGCTGAGAGAACTGGACGTGGCCTTAGCACTGCAGAGGAGGAACACCAAGAACAGCCTACCATCTGACGACGACAAGAAGAGCACCACGATCTAGTGTTGTTCCTGGCAGGGTTGTGCTACTGGAAAAGAAATTCCATAAAAGGAGGGGAGTAGAAGGTGTAGTTAATTACACAGTCACAAGGATAATTTGTTATTTGGAAGGAAAAACAAAGTCATTTCAAATGCTGTCAAGATGAGAAAGAAGAGAAGCCAAATTTAAAACCCATCTTAGAATGTTCCAGCCTTAGCAGAATTCTTTGTGACATGAACAAATAAATTTTACCCTCTGTAAAAAAAGTTTTTTACAGCACAAAAGCAGGCACAACTTAAAGAAAACCCTCTTCTAGGCAAACACCCCCAAAATTCTGATCCTAAGCCAAGCACATGGCCTTTAAAAACCTTGAGCTAGGAATTCCTGAAGGAATTTTGCAGGGAAGAGACCGAAATGGCAGCAGCACAGATGAATTCTTAAGTTTAGTGTCAGAGTCCTGAAGGATTTCACAGGAGTTTGCCTTTTTGTGCTGTTTCCTGGCATCTCCATTTCCTCTTTCACAGTAATAATCAATATAGGACAGCACAGCTTTTAGAGAGCCTCCAGATGAGGATCAACTACCCAGTCTTCATAAAGGACTTTGCAGCAGCCCATGCAAGCTAGAAACAAAGCAAGACCCTCGAGAAGGTCAGACGCATAAGCAGATACAACAATTCACGGAGAAACATAACAAGACATTTTAGCAGTTTCAATTTGTTTTTCCTAGATGCTTCAGCTGTCTGAATTTTAAAAGGTCCTATACGTTTATTATCCAAGCCAATTTATTAGTCCATAGGAAAAAAAAAAAAAAAAGACTGAGGAAATTAAAATCATACTTTTTTTCCTGCACTTGGAAAAATTAACAGCTGGAACAATGAAAAAGAAAAATATCGCTAAGAGGAAGTTCAACACTGAACTTGTGCAGCCCTAGTAACCCCCTAAATAATTATAGATTATAACCAGTTTTAATGAGATTTTAGTTTTGATTAGAGAGGCAAGAGAGACAGGTGAAGCCTTTAAAAAATACCTCACACTGACCTGACCAACCAGGAGAAAGCTGCTGTTGTGCTTCCAGACACTGTTTATATTTGCCACTACCAAATGTTTCCTCCTATCTCAGCTTTAGTCACCTTCATACATTGCTGTGCTCCAATACAGTTGCTAATAACTGCATCTGTTGACAGAAGTAGTCCAAATACACGAATGATGACACTGGATCTACTTTTCCACATAAAATTACTCAATTTACTTTATTTGGTAAGAAATTATCAGTAACTTGTGTTTTGACACAATGAGTTTTGCCACCTCAGCAGTATTTGATAGTCTTAATATACACTGTAGTGGAGGATCAAAATTAAGCTGTGTTTACCTTTTTTGCATCTGCAGAAAGGTCAAGTAACAACTCTTCCTAATGGAATTTCACCCATTTCAATGTATCAGGCAAGAGCTATTTACTTCCTCTGTGCCTCAGAGGTACAACCTAGCCATCAAGAGCACAGGAGAGTTCTCCTGGTCTTTATCAGCTGACAAAGACTTTGTCACTTTGGTGCAGTATGGACTGTAGAAGTCTTGGATACTTGGGAAAAAAAAAAAAAAGACACAGGGGAAAAATGTGCCAGTGAGAACTGCAAGTATATGCTACAAGCCAAAGAGAGTTGAGCACAACTTTAAACCATTTTTTGTAAATGTTAACAGCTCTTTACAGGCTTAGCATCTCTAGTGTGAAGGCTTTCTATTCCTTCACTTCCTTTTGGGGCCCAAAACCCAGTAAATCATTCATCTCCAAACAATAGCTATAGCCAAGGCAAAAAAAAAAAAAAGACACAGGGCAAAAATGTGCCAGTGAGAACTGCAAGTATATGCTACAAGCCAAAGAGAGTTGAGCACAACTTTAAACCATTTTTTGTAAATGTTAACAGCTCTTTACAGGCTTAGCATCTCTAGTGTGAAGGCTTTCTATTCCTTCACTTCCTTTTGGGGCCCAAAACCCAGTAAATCATTCATCTCCAAACAATAGCTATAGCCAAGGCTGCAGGCACTCATAACGCAATGTTTTTGACTTGTCATTTCTATTTATCTGTATAACACATACCTTATCTTCAAATTCTCAGAAACAGCAGAATACAATAAGCACAACTAGGCTACTGTTAAAAAACAAATTAGACACCACAATGTGAACAATATTCATGACAGAGAAACACAAACTTAACAGCAAATTAAATATGCCTACACCTGGATTAGGAAAAAAATACGGAAAAAAGAGAGATGAAAGAAAACTCAAAAAAAGTCATTTGATACTTCAAAAATGAGTAAGGAGTCACAATGTGGGTTAGAAAAGTCAAAAAATTCTTGGACGGGGTCCCTCAACTCTTTCCATTTACTTCCATAGACCTTAAAATGCACCTTTTCAGAGCACCTTATCCTGTCTACTGCAATTTAATTCACAAGCCAGACATTCAACAGCTCTCCCAGCCTTGTGCCTGACAAACCTGCCCTTCAGACACATGGACCAACTCTTTCATTTACCCCAATGAAGAAATCTGAACTTTCTCACCCCTAGAGCAGCAGTGTTTCTTAAGGTTAACCTTACAGACAGGAATTCAGTACCAAACAATATATTAAAATAAAACAAGTATCTACCAGGACTTCCCTCAGTCAAGTTACAGGTTATTTTCTTTTTTGTATCCAGCATGATAGCTTGACGACTGCTGTAACAGGATTTATATCTTATTTATATGCAGAATTGTATTCGAACAAGGTTTTCTGGGGCCTGGAGATGGGTATTTCTTTTGCAGTCTGAGACTTGTGCGAAAACACAGGAAAAATTTTCATTTCCTGAGGCCCAGCTGCTTTTGGTGGAGACTGAGAAAGCTTTCAAACAACAGCCTCCCAACTACTGATAGAAAGCAAAAATACTAGAACTCTTAAGTAGCTCCCACTTTTTGTCCTGCACGGCAGATTAGGAAATTGGCATGTGGCAACACTGACATAGCAATAGAAGAATGTATTGACAATTTCCAAGGGACAGGATTCCAAGCTGCTCAGCAACTAGGAGCTGCTATTCTTGTATGGAGATGAAAAACAGCATAAAACTCATTTCTCAAGAAGTAAATAAACAGAAACCTGTATTCCATACCTCAGGGCCTTAAACATGGCTTAATTAAGATTATTTATTCTTATTTAGTAGGCGAGGAAAAAAGCTACCAAGAACTTAAATTACTCAAGTAAAGTTATGATAAAGCCAAACCTGTAATCCTACCATATACCTTCTTACAAACTCCCTCCTGACTCCACAAAGCTCAAATCAACGGCTTTTGATCAATACATACCCCAAAACTTCACTTTGGAAGAGCTGACCTATATGGCTATATAGGTCATAAACAATACTAGAAATACATAGCTTTAATACAGAGAAGTATTAAAAGTAAAGGGAAGAGGAAGAAAAACAGTCATAGGTCTTTACTGCACCAGTGGGTTTGCTTGCTACTAAAGGTGTCAGCCTCCACAAAACAGGCTGCTTTAGGATCACCCTCAGCACTACAGATAATTGTCAGGCCCGTTCTTTCCATTAACTACACTGTGTATAAATGGAGTTTGTTTCCATCAACTAGCCTGACTGATGGACAAATTAAACAGCTTACAAAACTACAACACAGAGACAATGACAGTTTTGCACATCTCTGTTTCTTATCACACAGCCTCTTTACAAAGTCAGTAAAAAACTGGTTGCATTTTGTCCACTGCTAGGAGAACAGGTAGCCAGAGTGCAACAACACTTACCGTCCCTGTCTTCACTAAAGGGTTAGAGTGCAGTTTTCAGGAGAACTGGGATTCAGCAGCTTCCTGATGAAGTAGGTTCTGGTCCACAGACAAGTATCTCCCCTAGAAGCAGGTCTAGCCTGAAGCACTCTGCCAGTAGAACTACATCAATTAAGCAGTTCTCAAGTAAACATAATTCTTATTTACTTCCCAGCTTTTTTCCCCCTGCCATTCTCCCAGAATCAAGTAGACTAAATCAGAAAAAGCAGGAGTTCTGGAACATGTAGCTTCCCCAAAGTAGGCAACCCTCACAAGTGGCTAACCAGCTAACTAACGAGCGTTAGCAGCACTGACCTCACCTGTAAGCCAGGTCCACAAGCAACCTATGTTGCAGAATGAGGCAAATTTACTTCCTTCTTGCAAACCACCAGTGCTATGAAGTATCCTATTCAGCAAACCAAAGACTAAGACTGCACGGAGAGGGAAGCCTCCCGAATTCACAAGAATCATCTATTGTAACGGTAAAGGACTCTTTTGAGACACTAAAAGAGCGAGCTAATTCTCAGCTGGGATAGTGCTAGAGCAGAGTCAAAACTGACACTGCAATGGGCACACAATACACAGAACAGGTAGATCTGTCAAGGAAAATACAGTTTTCTTATAAAACAGAAATTTTAGTGTGGTAATGAAATTCACAGCTGAATAGTCATTATGGGAAAAGACTTAGGAAAGTCATTTGTCCACCTAAAAAGAATTAAGTTCTGAAATAAATAAATTTAAAAATACTGTAAACTTGCCTGTTGTGCACACACAGTACATCACTTTCCACCCAAGTTTTAATCCATATATTGCAAATGCAGAATTTTAGCAGCATGCTGGAGTCAGGATGCTCTGTTTCAGGTTAGCACACACTGAAATGGCAAGCAGGTCTGATTTGCCTGTATGTTACAGGCTTGGAAACCTGAAACTAAACAGAAGCGGATAAAGACCAAAGTGCCTTTTTCACTCACCAAAGAAGCAAACAAATGAAAAGTCACAAAACATAGTGCTGGTTTGAGATACAATTATTCAAGACACCGGGTCCTAGTTATACACTCTGGAAGGCTGCACAGTAACTGTGTTGAGTTCACATTCCCTTTTCCTAAGCATAAAAAAACGTGACTGCCTTTGAAGACACACACAGTTTAAGTACTATGAATACCCTTTGCCTTCAAAAAGTAAATTTGACAGCATCAGCGCATGAGCAAAGGTGTCTGTCGTATTGTGCTCTCCTTATCAAGCATTCTGAACTCCTAAAACACAAGTTACTCCAAATTACCATCTGACCAGCAATTTTAGCTCCCATTCAGACCTGCTATTTCAGACTGCTGCCCCATCATATTAAAATTGAACAGGTTATGCGCATGAATCTATACTATCAATTTTTTGAGTTGGCAACACCACACA